TCTGTGCTGCAGTACTACATGATGAGCTCAGCTCACTCAGATAAGCAGTGAGCAGTAAATATTGGCCTAGATATGAGAGAATGGGTCTATGCAATGACTGTGCACCATATGAAAACAATCCTGCCCCATGCAGCATATGATGGAAAAAAACTGTGCATTGGCAGGAGATGCAACATTTCTCCAGTGAAAAGCTGGGGTGCTATGAGTTAACTAAGGGACAACACAATAACTGTCAGGGGCCCAAGACTGTTCAACTGCCTCCCAGTATATATAAGGGGGATTACCAACAGACCCCTGGCTGTCTTCGAGAAGGCTCTGGACAGGCACCTGAAGTCAGTACCTGATAATCCGGGCTGTGGTTCTTCCGTCAATTTACGTGCAGTCAGCAATAACAGCCTGGTTGATCAGACCCTGATCCACTACAAGGCCTGGTCTCAGACTAGCACTGACCCCTGAAACCCTCTCCAGGTATACTCCATGTATGTACACCTACCGTCCGACTTATGATCGAGTTCGGTTCCGAGAAACGGGTCGTAGGTCGAAATGGTCGTAAGTCGAACTTTACTACTGAATATCAACAAAGCATTTTTGTAATGACTTTATTTTATTGTTTTATTTTGGTATTTCATGTTTTACTTTACTTTTTATGTTGTTAGTACTGTATTTCATACTGTAAGGTTTAGGATAAACACTGTGTACAACACAAATAGTTGTTTATTTCCCAGAAATTTGGCATAAAAAACACGGTCATAAGTCGAGTGGTCATAAGTCGAGCAGGTCGTAAGTCGAGCAGGTCGTAAGTCGGATGGTAGGTGTATATCTGTGGTCATATTCTTGGTTTCTTGGTCTCATTTGATAGAATGGAAGATATATTACAAAAACATAGATGATTTTGATTGGTTTCAGAACTAGAAGTAGCTTGAAATTGAACTCAAACTCACAGAAATGTTCTATTTTTGTCGATATTCCAGAGGATACAAATTGCATCACTCGTCCAATAAGCGTCCAACTCGTCAGTCTAATACGTGTTCTCTATTGCACTGACTATTTATACAATCATTACAATGATGCAGTAGTCTTCATAACAGGAAATCTTCTATTTTTTTGTGTGAATAAAAATTCAAAATGGAAAGCAAGTGTAATATAGGAGAGGCCTGGGGATGTAACTTATGAACAGAGGAAATGTTGTTTTCATAGAAGTCATGTCTATATTGTTTATTCTGGGTCCTATTTTTAAAGTGCCTTCTTTTTAATTTTGTGTGAAATTTTCCCAAATTACCTCTTTCTGATCACTTTATTGGGTAGTTGAAATAGTTAAATGGGCAGTTGCGTACTCAATCAACAGAATGGAAGGCATACTAGTGAAACAGCTAAGAGTTTGGTCAACTGAAACAATGGAATTGGCCTAAAACAGGATTCAACACGGGCAAAATCACTGGTGTATAAGTATCACCAAGACTGCTAACTTTGTGAAAGCGTAATTCCGTAAGTTTTACATCAAATTTCATATCTCCGGTGTCATTACCACTGAAAAAAGATTCTCTATCATAAGGAATTTTTTTTTTGGGGGGGGGGGGAGGGGGGAAGAAGGGAAATTTTTGGACCTTGAGGACAAGTTGCAAATTAGGGGGATCTGCTACTGTGCTTTGTGGCTGAACTTTACTGTTAATAACATGAAATTGTAATAAATTTAGAACGTTTGCTGGTAGGGTAGCTGGATGAAGAACAACTACTACTGATTTCATTGTTTACTTTTGCTAGTTAAGCATAATAGTACATCAGAAACAAAGTCATCACTTGTGTAGTTAACCAATACATCGTGTGAGCCCTCCTGGCCTTAGATTTTGTCACGTGTATGAATAAATTGAAGACGACCCAAAGAGTTGTACTTAAGTCAAAAATGCTGGCAGGGAGCAGACTTGAAGGTACAAAAAATTATGTATACTAGTATGTTGGAGATACAAGTATGCATACCAGTACAATGGACACAGTTTAAGGGTTAATATCAATAAAATCATGAATGCCACCCTAGAAAATGCCCCAAAATTATTTTTTTAACCCAAACTCACAGTCAAAGGCTAACTGTTTCCACCACACACTGCAAGGGGAAGGATTTTTTTTATATAGCTCACATCAACCACACAGGCCTGTTTTCTCATGCTTAAGCAAAAATTTGTGACTCAGAACATTTGAGGTCACTATGATGTACCAATGAGTTATCTAAGCACCACTGATAAAAATAACATAAATCTACATGAAAGACAGTGAAAGCATTTAAAACATAGGTCACTGTTACAAGTAAAAATAGGCAAGGCAAAAGACATGTTGAAATATTCTACATTACACAACAGATATTACTATGCTACACTGTACAATGCTGTTATATAAGCAATACTAACCAAATATAGATAAGAATGAAGCAGGAAAAAGGCTTTATGGGGACATGTCATGGAAATCTTTTAGTTTTCAGGAGGCAAGGAATGAAGTTGTGGGATTTGAATAACACTTTGACCTTCAAGATCACTCATGAACTCTAAATAATGAAAAATAATATGAAATGACATCTGAATGTCCAAAGGACAATTATGAAACAAAAACTATAGCATGAAAAACAAAAAATTAGACTCCTGAAGCAACTCTGGCTACCAAAACTAACATGTTAACACATTACAGAAAGCAGAACCATAAAATAAGGAACAAAAAAAAACTGCAGTCTAAGTCAAGCAAGAGGCTGTAAGTCATACAATGACAGACATCAGCAGTAGTAGGGGAGTCAACAATGCCAGTGACTGCTCAACTTCATGAATTGTGGTCCATACCATACCCAAAAAATTTTTAGAGTCAAAGGCCATAAATCACTGTGTAGGAATTGGTGGAAATATCAGCCCTTTAACTGTAGTCCAAATTAAATACTGTATTATATATAAACCATTCGAAGTCATAAGACAACAAGCCATAGAAAATTTTGAGAAAAAGAGAAAGTTCCCCACTAGTCAAGCTGAAAAGAGTGGAGTTGGTAAGTTTCTTAGTCAAGAAGGTCCACTCAAACTTTATCATAATAGTAAAGTGACTCGGGGAAGGTAGGGGTAAAAGATGATGAGCAACTATGTCAAAAAGAGGGAATACTTGCAAAAAACATCAGAGATTTCACAGCATCTTCACAGCCAAGAAAGGAACAGTGTCAGAGCTAGAAAGGGAAATGCAGAGGTGCCAAAAACTGAATGCATTAATCATGAAACTAGGTAAATAAACAATCAAGCTTCAACAGCAAAATAAAACAAAAAATCTATTGATATACATCACTGATATCATTGTCTTTTCAAGGCTGGCGGTCAGTGAGTCAGTCATCAGGAGGTGTCTATGGGTGTAGAAACATGTATATATACATGGGGCATGTGGAAGTAAATATGAAAGGGAGACAGTAAGAGACCTTATAATCTCCAGGGGAATTTACTGAGGAAGATTAGCTAGTTTAGCTACCTTTACCTCATATTAATCTCCAAAATAGAATAACATAGCATTAGGCTCTCTTCCTACCATCCACTTCCTATGGCTGCAATGCCAACTGGAAAATTGGACAAAAGGATTCCAGGAGAGAGTAGTGCAAATGTGAGAAAGGTAACATTTATGAAGGGATTCAGGGATGACAGCTGAGCTTGAGTCCTGGAGCTGGGAAGCACAGCACCTGTACTGTGAAGGAGGGGCAAGGATGTTGCAGTTCTGAAGGTTATTCAAGTTGTGATGTCAGCATACTTATGGTAAGACAATGAATTGATGGTGAAAGTATTTCTTCTTTTATTGGGTCGCCCTACCTTGGTGGGAGACGGCCAGTGCTATAATAAAAAAAAAAAAAAAAGGGAATTCCACAAAGTTTTCAAAATTACTTGACTAAACCTTGGCTTTTTCCTCAACTCAATTCACCTCAGCCATCTCCTAACATCTTCACCTGATCAAACTTCTGGTTCACCACACTTTTCTCTTTCAAGTGTAACTTAATTATGGACTAGGACAGATCGAAACATCGTCTAAAGATGTATCTCTAATCTGTGGGCTAGTTGTGAAGAGTATTTCCTATACACACATTTTTTTTTTTTCAACAAGTTGGTCGTCTCCCACCGAGGCAGGGTGACCCAAAAAAGAAAGAAAATCCCCAAAAAGAAAATACTTTCATCATCATTCAACACTTTCACCACACTCACACATTATCATTGCTTTTGCAGAGGTGCTCAGAATACAACAGTTTAGAAGCATATAAGTATAAAGATACACAACATATCCCTCCAAACTGCCAATATCCCAAACCCCTCCTTTAAAGTGCAGGCATTGTACTTCCCATTTCCAGGACTCAAGTCCGACTATATGAAAATAACCGGTTTCCCTGAATCCCTTCACTAAATATTACCCTGCTCACACTCCAACAGATCGTCAGGTCCCGAGTATCATTCGTCTCCATTCACTCCTATCTAACATGCACATGCACGCATACTTACATATAATGCCAAGCCCAAAACCAACAAAATATGCCTTGAATATCAAATCTGTGATTTTTCACGAGATAAAACTTTGCTTAAATTTAATCGAGTTCAAAATACTGAAAGTAATTTATTAAAATGAATATCTTCTTTTTTCAACAAACTGGCTGTATCCCACCAAGGTAGGGTGGCCCAAAAAGAAAAACAAAAGTTTCTCTTTTTAACTTTAGTAATGTATACAGGAGAAGGGGTTACTAGCCCCTTACTCCGGTATGTTAGTCACCTCTTACAACACACATGGCTTATGGATGAAGAATTCTGTTCCACTTCCCCATGGAGATAAGAGGAAATAAACAAGAACAGGAACTAGTAAGAAAACAGAAGAAATCCCACAGGGATGTGTGTGTATATATATACTTGTACAAGCATGTGTAGTGTGACCTAAGAGTGAGTAGAAGTAGCAAGAGAAGACCTACAATCTTGCAATAAAATGAATATACATTAATTAAAATTTGACAAGCATTTTACCTTAAAGTAAATGCCAGGCTTCTTCTTATTAAGTCTGATGCCAACAGCCTCTAATTCTGCAGTAAGCAGATCTTTTTGAACCTCTCCTTTAGTAACATCTACCATCATGATCACTAAGTCTGCTGTCCGTGCCACAGCAATAACCTGAAACAAAGTCATTTCCTATATTAATACACCAAATAAAGTTATATTTATGCTAAATTAAATGTGTTCCAATGAATGCAATGATATTTTGTGAAAAATTATGATAAATTCATTATGAAGCCAAGAAAAATGAAAGCATTCACAAGCAGAGGATGAGAGGGGGAAGGGGAAGGGGAGGGGGAAGGGGAAGGGATGGGGAAGGGGGAAGGGGATGGGGGAGGGGGAGGGGGAGGGGGAGGGGGAGGGAGGGGGAGGGGGAGGGGGAGGGGAGGGGGGAGGGGGAGGGGGAGGGGGAGGGGTAGTGTTACAAATGACCTACAATCAAGGAATATAAAGTGTAATGGTACGACTTCAACTCATTCTTGCTTTTATTGACCAGAAAGTTGCAGAGCACAAAAGCAACTCATACACCATTTGTTACAGTAAAACACCCATGACTTACCTCCGTCATCTGTTACAGTAAGACACCTGGAGGTTACCTGGAGGTTATTCCGGGGATCAACGCCCCCGCGGCCCGGTCCATGACCAGGCCTCCCGATGGATCAGGGCCTGATCAACTAGGCTGTTACTGCTGGCCGCACGCAGTCCGACGTACGAGCCACAGCCCGGCTGATCCGGCACTGACTTTAGGTATCTGTCCAGCTCTCTCTTGAAGGCAGCCAGGGGTTTATTGGCAATTCCCCTAATGCTTGATGGGAGGCTGTTGAACAGTTTTGGGCCCCGGACACTTATGGTGTTTTCTCTTAGTGTACCAATGGCACCCCTACTTTTTCTTGGCGGCATTTTGCATCGCCTGCCCAGTCTTTTACTTTCGTAGGGAGTGATTTCTGTGTGCAGATTTGGGACCATTCCTTCCAAGATTTTCCAAGTGTAGATTATGATATATCTCTCCCTCCTGCGTTCCAACGAGTACAAGTCAAGTGCTGCCATGGCTTACTTCCCTCATTTTTTACAGTAAGGCAACCATGGCTTACCTCCCGTATCTGTTACAGTAAGACATCCATGGCTTACCTCCCTCATGTGTTACAACACATCCATTATCATAATAGCCTTTTGAAACAAGACCCAACTCAGATGGAAAAAGCTCAAAAACCTGTTCAATAACTAATATAGTAGCAATTCCTGAAACACCAGAAGGTCCCAATCTAGAATTCCTATTACCAGAATCTTGCTCAGCACTGAGGTACATTAGTTCATCAGTTTGATCTACTCATACAATGATTCATATATATTTGACTTAAAGCAGACAAGGAAGAAAATCCAAATATTAGCCTGTTACGTAGTTAGTAGTGAGGAAGAGAATCCCTATGCTGGCCTATTTGGTAGAAAGCAGTGAGGAGAATGTCAATGCCAGACTGTTGTAAGACAGCAGTGAGGAAGAGAATCCCAGTATCAGTAGTACTGTTAGTGGTGAGGATGAGAATCCCTGTCCTGGCCTGTCTGGTAGTTTGTAGTGAGGTAAAGAATCTTTGTACCAGACTGTTGTTAGGTAAATGGCAGTGAGGAAGAAAATGACTCATGAAATCGTAAAAACACAATGGCAAAAAATCAAGAGAATGGATGGAGCTCAAACCCATGGCAAACAAGGTCGAAAACTGGCGTGAGTTTTAGGACTCGCCTATGAGTTTGAGCCTCAACTGTTATGTGATCTGAGGAAGAGAATCACAATACCAGCATATTGTTAGGTAGTTAGCAGTGATGAAGAAAATCACAGTACCAGTATACTGTCAGGAGCAGCTAGGGAGAAAATCCTCATGCCTGCCTGCTGTTGGGTGTTTAGTGATGAGGGAGGGAATTCCCATGCCAGCCTCTTGTTGGGTTATTAGTGACAAGGAAGTGTCCCCATGCCAGTCAGGTGTTGGGTAGTTAGTGATGTGGGAGAATCCCCATGTCAGACTCTTGTTGGGTATTAGTGATGAGGGACATCTGGCATTAGGTAATGATACAGGCAGAATCACTGTTCTTTAGCAAAACTCACCTACCAGAACCTTGTCCATTTTCAGAGAACTTCAGGTGAACTATGAAATATGGTACCCAGCATAAGATGTAGTTAGATATTCAATAACCTTAGTCCAATATTCAAAATCTTAGACTTTATAAAGCTCTATTTAGGGCAAATGTCCTAATAAAAAAGCTCACTCAGGTAGGTGTGCTTTACATTTCTGAAGAAGACTATTCTTACCTGTCAGCCTCTGCCCTTTCATGGGAAGCACCTTCAATAACACCAGGTAAACCTGGCATTATTAAATATGGTATGTGAATCTTCTTACTTGCCTGCCTCTGCTTATTCTGTAGGAAACACCCTAAATAATACCAGATAAAGCTTACCTGCCTGCCTCTACCTTTTCCTTGGGAAGCACCCTCAATAATACCAGGTAAATCTAACAACTGGATGTTGGCGCCTTTATATTCAATAACTCCTGGAATGCAGGTCAGTGTTGTGAATTCGTACGATGCTGCTACACTCTGAGTGTTGGTCAATGTGCTCAGCAAAGTGGACTGTGGAGAAAATAAACTAGATAAATATAATACATTATACTAATGTAGGCAGTTAAATGTATGAATTTTCATTTTGTAAGTCTCATGCCATATTAAAATACTTATTAAAACAGTCCTTGCCATACTGATACGATGCAGAAAAACAAAATAGTTCTGTATTAGAACAAATGGCAAGAAACAGCAAAACCCTGATTTGAAGTCTTTCTGATTTAACAGACAATATTGCTTATCTGGATAAAGTTTGGAAACTATGGACAAAGTAATTAAATTCAAAATTGTCCATTACTGTTATAGTCTGCTGGGAAAATTTATTAGATTTAATGGATAAAGTTCACCAAATCCAGAAATACCTATTATTATGATCATGAAAAAGCAATCTCATCATTTGAATTTAACGGACAATGGGTATTACCAGACACCTTTTCCCCCTCCCCTTTCCCAATTAATCCATTAATTTAAAGTTTCACTATACAGCATGCTAAAACTATATTTAATAAACTATTTCCTAATAAAAGAAAAGAATGATCTATTAATGTCTTTCTTTACTCTTATTTCTTCTAGGAAGTGACATTCAGAAGGAAGATATTACTAACATTTGCAAGAATACTTCAGTGTGTATTACCCCTTACCTTGCCAACAGATGGGAAGCCAATTAGTGCCACTCTGGCATCGCCACTTTTCATAACATCAAAACCCTCACCTTTCTCCCCTTTCTTGCCCTGTGGCTCAAGTAGTTGTGTTCGATACTTTGCTAGTTTGGCTTTCAGTACACCCAAGTGGTACTCAGTGGCTGTAGAAATAAAGATCACTTCAATTATAATACTCAAAGTAGTTTAAAAGGTTTATTGCAAATGACTAACATTTGCACATATACACCTACCATCCGACTTACGACCTGCTCGACTTACGACCACTCGACTTATGACCATGTTTTTTATGCCAAATATCTGGGAAATAAACAACTACTTGTGTTGTACACAGTGTTTATCCTAAACCTTACAGTATAAAATACAGTACTAACAGCATAAAAAGTAAAGTAAAACATGAAATACCAAAATAAAACAATAAAATAGTCATTACAAAAATGTGATGTTGATATTCAGTAGTAAAGTTCGACTTACGACCACTTCGACTTACGACTGGTTTCTCGGAACCAAACTCGGTCGTAAGTCGGATGATATGTGTATTATCATGATGGTATCTATGGCTCTATTTTCATTCACATTGTATAATGCATACAAGATATGATGTAGGGCGAAATGACAGTAGTTTGTTGGATTATGTATTGGTAGATAAAAGACTGTTGAGTAGACTTCAGGATGTACATGTTTATAGAGGGGCCACAGATATATCAGATCACTTTCTAGTTGTAGCTACACTGAGAGTAAAAGGTAGATGGGATACAAGGAGAATAGAAGCATCAGGGAAGAGAGAGGTGAAGGTTTATAAACTAAAAGAGGAGGCAGTTAGGGTAAGATATAAACAGCTATTGGAGGTTAGATGGGCTAATGAGAGCATAGGAAATGGGGTCGAAGAGGTATGGGGGTAGGTTTAAAAATGTAGTGTTAGAGTGTTCAGCAGAAGTTTGTGGTTACAGGAAAGTGGGTGAGGGAGGGAAGAGGAGCAATTGGTGGAATGATGTAAAGAGAGTAGTAAGAGAGAAAAAGTTAGCATATGAGAAGTTTTTACAAAGTAGAAGTGATGCAAGGAGGGAAGAGTATATGGAGAAAAAGAGAGAGGTTAAGAGAGTGGTGAAGCAATGTAAAAAGAGCAAATGAGAGAGAGGGTGAGATGTTATCAACAAATTTTGTTGAAAATAAAAAAAAGTTTTGGAGTGAGATTAACAAGTTAAGAAAGCCTACAGAACAAATGGATTTGTCAGTTAAAAATAGGACAGGAGAGTTATTAAATGGAGAGTTAGAGGTACTGGGAAGATGGAGGGAATATTTTGAGGAATTGTTAAATGCTGATGAAGATAGGGAAGCTGTGATTTCGTGTATAGGGCAAGGAGGAATAACATCTTGTAGGAGTGAGGAAGAGCCAGTTGTGAGTGTGGGGGAAGTTCGTGAGGCAGTAGGTAAAATGAAAGGGGGTAAGGCAGCCGGGATTGATGGGATAAAGATAGAAATGTTAAAAGCAGGTGGGAATATAGTTTTGGAGTAGTTGGTGCAATTATTTAATAAATGTATGGAAGAGGGTAAGGTACCTAGTGATTGGCAGAGAGCATGCATAGTTCCTTTGTATAAAGGCAAAGGGGACAAAAGAGAGTGCAAAAATTATAGGGGTATAAGTCTGTTGAGTATACCTGGTAAAGTGTATGGTAGAGTTATTATTGAAAGAATTAAGAGTAAGACGGGGAATAGGATAGCAGATGAACAAGGAGGCTTTAGGAAAGGTAGGGGGTGTGTGGACCAGGTGTTTACAGTGAAACATATAAGTGAACAGTATTTAGATAAGGCTAAAGAGGTTTTTGTGGCATTTATGGATTTGGAAAAGGCGTATGACAGGGTGGATAGGGGGGTAATGTGGCAGATGTTGCAGGTGTATGGTGTAGGAGGTAGGTTACTGAAAGCAGTGAAGAGTTTTTACGAGGATAGTGAGGCTCAAGTATGTAGGAAAGAGGGAAATTATTTCCCAGTAAAAGTAGGCCTTAGACAAGGATGTGTGATGTCACCGTGGTTGTTTAATATATTTATAGATGGGGTTGTAAGAGAAGTAAATGCGAGGGTCTTGGCAAGAGGCGTGGAGTTAAAAGATAAAGAATCACACATAAAGTGGGAGTTGTCACAGTTGCTCTTTGCTGATGACACTGTGCTCTTGGGAGATTCTGAAGAGAAGTTGCAGAGATTGGTGGATGAATTTGGTAGGGTGTGCAAAAGAAGAAAATTAAAAGTGAATACAGGAAAGAGTAAGGTTATGAGGATAACAAAAAGATTAGGTGATGAAAGATTGGATATCAGATTGGAGGGAGAGAGTATGGAGGAGGTGAATGTATTCAGATATTTGGGAGTGGACGTGTCAGCGGATGGGTCTATGAAAGATGAAGTGAATCATAGAATTGATGAGGGGAAAAGGGTGAGTGGTGCACTTAGGAGTCTGTGGAGACAAAGAACTTTGTCCTTGGAGACAAAGAGGGGAATGTATGAGAGTATAGTTTTACCAACACTCTTATATGGGTGTGAAGCATGGGTGATGAATGTTGCAGCGAGGAGAAGGCTGGAGGCAGTGGAGATGTCATGTCTGAGGGCAATGTGTGGTGTGAATTTAATGCAGAGAATTCGTAGTTTGGAAGTTAGGAGGAGGTGCGGGATTACCAAAACTGTTGTCCAGAGGGATGAGGAAGGGTTGTTGAGGTGGTTCAGACATGTAGAGAGAATGGAGCGAAACAGAGTGACTTCAAGAGTGTATCAGTCTGTAGTGGAAGGAAGGCGGGGTAGGGGTCGGCCTAGGAAAGGTTGGAGGGAGGGGGTAAAGGAGGTTTTGTGTGCGAGGGGCTTGGACTTCCAGCAGGCATGCGTGAGCGTGTTTGATAGGAGTGAATGGAGACAAATGGTTTTTAATACTTGACGTGCTGTTGGAGTGTGAGCAAAGTAACATTTATGAAGGGGTTCAGGGAAACCGGCAGGCCGGACTTGAGTCCTGGAGATGGGAAGTACAGTGCCTGCACTCTGAAGGAGGGGTGTTAATGATGCAGTTTAAACTGTAGTGTAAAGCACCCTTCTGGCAAGACAGTGATGGAGTGAATGATGGTGAAAGTTTTTCTTTTTCAGGCCACCCTGCCTTGGTGGGAATCGGCCAGTGTGATAATAAATAAATAAAATTGTCTAACAACCTGTTGCCTCAGGAAGCTAACTTTCCAGAAAATAGTTTCAAGCAGTGTAAAGAATTTAAACCCATAAACAGTGTAAGACTTCTACATATACACTATACAAATCTGGTAAAAAATAATACATGTCAGTTTGCTTATCAAATGGTACACAGAAACAAATAAAATATTTAAGATAAATGTTATGGGGAAAAAACACTGTAATTAGTAATGTTAAAGGCAAACCATACAGTGGTTTTAGCATGGTAGGCACCCTTCAAAATGATATTCATTTAAAATGTGTACACATAAGTATGTACAGTACTAAAGATAATGAATATTGAATGGAATTGTGCATCTCAGGACTAGTGGATGGAGGATCAAGCTTCCACTGCTCCTTGCACTCTACGGATCACAGGGGTCCATGATTATAAATGAATATGCAGTAAAACCTCTGTATTTGGATGTACCTTTATTAATAAAATGTAGTATTTGCAAATGTTACTATATTCAGAACAACACATGCTTTTTTTGAGCACTTGTGATTCAACTGTTATTTTTTTGAATAACTTTGTGTTACTTTTATTTCATTATTAAAAATAAGTGATCATGGTTCCGAATAAGAATAGTGAAGAAAATTTTAAAAGGAAAGCTGTAAGAGCCACCATTGAACTAAAAAAAGAATATGGCATGTCAACGTCCGACTTAAAAATGGTTTGTGAAAAGTAACTTTCGAAGTCTGGAATGAATTAATTCAATTTACATTATTTCCTATGGAAAAAATTAATCCAATATTCAGAAAATTCGATATTTAGAACACTCTCAGGAACCAATTAATTTCAAATACAGAGGTTCTCCTGTAAACACCGGAACCCTTCTATGTCTACTAAGGAAATCATCGCCCCCAATTAGGGAGATATCTTTTATAACATTTCTACTGTTACACAAATAACCCGCACATAAAAGAGAGAAGCTTACGACGACGTTTCGGTCCGACTTGGACCATTTACAAAGTAAATGGGCCAAGTCGGACCGAAACGTCGTCGTAAGCTTCTCTCTTTTATGTGCGGGTTATTTGTGTATCATTCCAGTCACGGTATTGTGCCTTTTTTTGTTATTTCTACTGTTAAAATTATGCTACATCTACTATGGCGGGACACCACCTTGAAAGAAGCTAACGTGTCAAGTAATTCTTTATGAACTGTCCAGACAATTACCGCCTTCGTTGTCGTTTAAATATTCGTTGTGCAATTGAAAAAAAAAAAAAAAAAAAAAAAAAAAAAAAAAAAAAAAAAAAAAAAAAGCAATTGCAACTTGTATATATACTACCAATTCAGAGTCATGTACCTATATATCTGTTATATCTATGTGACTCTGATGGATTAGTATTATACCCCTTCAAGATTTTTTTAATATTCCACATACACTTTTTAAATTGCACCAAAGTGGTTGTGTCACTTACCTTTTATATCCTACCTCACACCCCCCTCCCACCCTTTTCCAATATTTCTATCCTTACCCATCTTTCTTCCTTACCCATCTTACCAAAGACTCTGGTCTGAAATACGAACATGTGAGAAGTATAGCAATATTTTGGTATATTATTCAGAACATTAGCATTTACATAAATCTCAGGGCTGGACACAAAAAAGCGAGTGAGTTGGTATGTATGACAGTGAAAGAATTTACAGTACCCATGAAGAGCCTCTGGTTGTGTGGAGCATTTCATGAACACTAAAACCTACTGTAAGCCTAATGGGACATAATATAATAAACATTGTACATATATGAATAAACAGAAGTGTGTATGGGAACTTTAACCATGGTCATAACATGTAGCAGGTCCAGCATTGTAACACTGATTTATGAAAATTTCAGTAGCTAAATTTCAAAGACAAGCATTGACCATGACATGTCTGCATCTGCTGCACCAGCTATGACCCTACCGTGCCACCGAGGCAGACATATCACAGACGTACTGTTTGTGAAATTTTCCTATTGAAAGCTTCATAGCTCAGCGGTACAGAACAATTGTTCAAGTCTCCATCCATTCTTCTGGTTATTCAGTGACAGTTATTCATTAAGACTTGTCATGTTATCTTAAATTCATTGTACATATATATTTGTATACAAAGATATTAAAGATATAAAAATGGATCAAGATAATTCTTATAAATAAAATAAGCAATGCTGTGTATCCTAAGGATTTTCTGATTATTGTATACTGTGTAAATTCAGTAAATGCAAATAAAGAATCTAAATCTAATTGTAAATATGAAAGCATATTAAAAATATAGCATAGTACATAAGAAAAATGAATGTAGTTAAATTCCAGCAAAATAAATTACATTACAATGTAAAGTTTTTTACATTAAACAACATTTAATACAATAACTAAACTTGATGTAATGATATTTTAAGTAATAGAAGCTTAGTACAGTATGTTGAAATAGTAGTGATCATACAGAGAAACCAATACAAAACAGTAGAGGGTATTTACAAGAAGATTTGTTGAAATATGTGGGCCAAACATCTTAGTAAGAAGAGGGTACCCAGACCTGGATAATTCTCATGCACACATCTACAATGACAAGAACCCTAATGGAAGTAAGTCACTGACTTTTTTGGGAGTTATTCAAGGCAATTTATACACACGTTAGTATGTATGATAACTGTACTGATGTGGACGTGTACCTATATAAACTTATTAAAGTGTGACTATCTTGGGAGGGAAGTACATAGTCATAACTGCTGCATTACACCTCTCACCTTTTTATATCTACTAATACATCAGCTCTGCACAGCTCACTTTACAACACAATTATCAATTCATTAAGGATGTGTGTTGTGCAACATACACAGTTAACAATCATTTGCAAGTAACAATATTTTCAGGGGAGGTGAGCAGTTGTTGGTCACCTGAGGTCATGCTGGCTAACACACACTTGTTGCCTACCTTTATTCTTCTGTGTCCTGGCTATCTCCTTCTCTATCTCGCCGATTCTCTCGAGGATACCCATGATGTGTGAGTTACAGTAGAATAAATGAGTGAGTAAGTGGTAGTTGAGTGTTAGTATTGAGAGAGTGAGGAACGTGTGTTGTTGTGGCCGCCCCGGGGGTCCACCTTCACCATCACATTACATCATCTTTATCCTATTATTCTCCACTTGGGCTTCCATAACACACCGCAGATTATATCTATTTATCCCGGTGTGTAAGTAGATAAAGTGTAGCGAGGTTGTTAAGAGAGATATTGTAGATAATAAAGGTTGTGTACCTGGGGTGTAGTGTGAGAGTGAGACAACAGATGGCGGGTAGTGTGTGCTGCTCTGTGAGGCTCCTCGCTCTTCTCTCATATATTTTACTCTCACCACTACACTACTGCTTCAATACCTCTACAATTTTGTACCCGGGGAAAGTCTATCAAGCTCGCCACTCCTGCGCTGAGGGATAATAAAACGAGCGTAAGCAAATGCATTTTTTGAGGGCAATTAAGGAGGGTGTGAAGCATGTATGCATTAAGCAGGATGAAGCTATGACAGCTGTCCCAGCATGCTCGCCCTCACCCTGCCACACTATACCCTCACGTTATGTGTATTACAGTGTTGTGGCCTGTGTATCCATCATACGGTTGACTCTGCATGCACTAGTATACCCATTTAATTTTGCTTGGTGTCAGCTGTCACCTGGCAGGTATAGCCCCTAGGCTGGTCCACTCCCGTCCATACATCGTAACCTTCACTTATATTACACATATTTTACACACTTGTTTAAACTTGTACAATAGTTTTATTAATGATACGTGAATACACTTAACGTTGGTTAATTCCACAAAGTTATTGATTATAATAATAATAATATATATAATACTGTTATTTCCATCCAATCCTTCAATATTTTTCATGCAGGTGGCTTGTGGCCTCGTTGGCAAAGTTCTCACTTCACACAGTAATAATAATATCTTTATTTACTACAAGTACATGTACAAGGTATACAGTCCTAGCTGACATCAGTGACATACTACTTATTCATGTGCCTACTACATACACAGAACAATACACGCAAATATAAACCCTCCACTCAAACTTCTCACCAACCTACACAGGACACACGACCACAACACAAGACACAGATCTCTTTTTGATATACCTCGTATCCATATCACACTGTGTAAAAACTCTATGCACATAAAGGACCCCAAAATATGGAATTCATTACCAGAAGATATTAAAGTAACCCAGTCTGAAAATCAATTTAAGACTTCTCAAAAGCCACTTAATCACCCTAGACTAAACGCTAAATACTCGGTACACACTTACTCACTTATGTACTCCCACATAATAACTTCAACAATCACTTTGAACCTTTTATCCATTGTTGACAGGAATATAATTGAATCATTGTTTTTCACAAAAAGCATTTTCGAATATGAATATATCTTTGTATTATACAAATTTTGATTCATTTATAATTAATATTCTACTGTACAACTATGAAATAATTACTATCCTACTGTACAACTAGGATATACTCCTTAGTGTTAAGTAGACTGTAAGCCAATAATGTTAAGTTGGCCCATAATGCCAAGGCATAATAGAGGCTCTCTTTGCTTTGCAACCCACTATTGTAAATACAAGATCTCAATGTACTGTTTGCAAAGACATAAAATAAATAAATAAACAAATAGAAAGCCGCCTGTTATGCTGAGCATTCCGGGCAAATTAGGTCAGTTTTGTCCCAGGATGCAACCCACACCAGTCGACTAACACCCAGGTACCCATTTTACTGATGGGTGAACATAAAAAACCTGTGTAAAAAAAAATACGCCCAATGTTTCTACCCTCGTTGGGAATCTAACCCAGACACTCGCTGTGTGAAGCGAGAGCTTTAGCCACCAGGCCACGAAGGGTCTGGGTTCGATTCTCGGTAAGGGTGGAAACATTGGGTGTTTCTTTACACCTACTGTCCATGTTCACCCATCAGTAAAATGGGTACCTGAGTGTTAGTCGACTGGTGTGGGTCGCATCCTGGGACAAAACTGACCCAATTTGCCCAAAATGCTCTGCATAAAAAGCAGCTTTCTATATTAATATACTATACTAGAAAGCTGCTAGTAGTATGTCATTGATGTCAGCTAGGCCTGTACTCTTTGTACATGTACCTGTAGAAATAGTTATTATGCTTATATAATATCAGTAATGCATTACCAGTCACCTTAAAATTACTTTTAACACATCTAATACAAACTTAACAATCCATTATATTTGAACTTGTGGTTTTGCCAAACAATTTAAAAAATTGTCCATACAGTGGTGCACACCTGACCCCAGTGGAAATAAGTCACTTTTGACTTTTTGGGGTTATCCCAGGTAATTTACAGTGATATGTGTACCTGTGCCTGAATAAACCTACTATAGTGAGTGTAGTAGTAGTTGTTGTTTCTCATATATAATGGACGAAGTGTTCAGTAAACACGCCAGAACAGTTCACTTTGTTTCTTGAGTTATCCAAGGTTAAAAATACGATATAAAAACGCTGAAAATTTAAACTTTTTTTTTCCAACAAGTTGGCCGTCTCCCACGAGGCAGGGTGACCCAAAAAGAAAGAAAATCCCTTCATCATCATTCAACACTTTCACCTCACTCATACATAATCACTGTCTTTGCAGAGGCAAACAGATATGACAGTTTAAAATTGCTGTTAATAAAAAGTCCCTCCAAACCGTCAATATCCCAAACTCCTCCTTTGAAGTGCAGACATTGTACTTCTCATTTCCAGGACTCCAGCCTGGCTAACCGATTTCCCTAAATCCCTTCACTAAATATTACTCTGCTTACACTCCAACAGCTCCTCAGGTCCCAAAAACCATTCGTCTCCATTCACTCCTATCTAACACGCGTGCACACGCTTGCTGGAAGTCCAAGCCCCTCACCCCCTCCCTCTAACCTTTTCGAGGACGACCCTTACCCCTCCTTCCTTCCCCTACAGATTTATATGCTTTCCAAGTCATTCTACTTTGATCCATTCTCTCTAAATGACCAAACTACCTCAACCCCTCTACAGCTCTCTGACTAATATTTTTAGTAACTCCACATCTCCTAATTTCCACACTCCGAATTCTCTTCATAATATTTACACTACACATTGCCCTTAGACAGGACATCTGCACTGCCTCCACTCGCCTCCTCACTGCAGCATTTACAACCTAAGCTTCACACCCATATAAGAGTGTTGGCACCACTATACTTTCACACATTCCCTTCTTTGCCTCCATAGATAACGTTTTGTCTCCACAGATACCTCAGTGCACCACTCACCTTTTTTTCCATCATCATTTTATGGTTAACCTCATCCTTCATAAACCCATCTACTGACAAGTCAACTCCCAAATATCTGAAAACATTTCTTCCATACTCCCTCTCTCCAGTGTGATATCCAATTTTTCTTTATCTAAATCGTTTGATACCCTCATCATCTTACTCTTTTCTATGTTGCCTTTCAACTTTCTACCTTTACACACACTCCCAAACTCATTCATTAACCTTTGCAACTTTTCTTTAGACTCTCCTATAAGCTCAGTATCATCAGCAAAAAGTAACTGTCAACTCCCATTTTGTACTTGATTCCCCATAATTTAATCCCACCCCTCTCCCCAACACCCTAGCATTTACTTCTTTTACAACCCCATCTATAAATATATTATGTCTGAGGCATAAATAAAAACTTGCCAGCGTTGTCTAGATGTAACGTACATTGTGTGTGTGTGTGTGCGTGCGTGCGTGCGTGTGTGCATGCGTGTGTGCATGCGTGTGTGTGTGCGCATGCATGCATGTGTGTGTGCGTGCGCATGCATGCGTGTATGCGTGCACGTGCGTGTGCGCGCATATACTCACCTAGTTGTGGTTGCAGGGGTCAATTCACAGCTCATGGCCCCGCTTCTTCTCTGGTCGCTACCACATGTTCTTGTGTGTGTGTGTTCACCTAATTTTGGTTGCAGGGGTCAAGTAATAGCTCCTGGCCCCGCCTCTTCACTGGTCGCTACTAGGTCCACTCTCCCTGGTCCATGAGTGTGCACGCGCACTCGCCTATATGTGGTTGCAAGGGTCGAGTCAAAGCTCTTGGCCCCTCTTCTCTGGCCGATACTGGGTCACTCCCCGATCTTACAGCCTTGTCATACCTTTTCATAAAGCTATGTATGGAACTTGCCTCCACTACTTCACTCTTCAGATTATTCCACTTCCTGACAATTATAAGACTAAAGAAATACTTCCTAACATACCTGTGACTCATGTGGGTTTTCATCTTCCATTTGTGGCCCCTTGTTCCTGTGTCCCATCTTAGAAACATTCGAGCCCTGTCTACCTTGTCAATTCCTCTCAGTACTTTATACATCACTATGTCCTCCCTATCCCTACTATCCTCTAGTGTCATCAGGTCGAGTTCCCTTAACCTCTCCTCGTAAGACATATCCTCAGTTCCGGTATTAGTCTTTTTGGGAAACTTTTGTATTTTCTCCAACTTCTTGATGTGTTTGACTAGGTGTGGGTTCCTTACTGCTGCTGCATACTCAAGTATGGGCTTGACGTGAACAGTGTAGTGTTGTGAATGACTCCTTACTTAAATGTTGAAATGTTATTCTCAGGTTTGCCAAGCGCCCATATGCTGCAGCAGTTATCTGATTGATGTGCGCCTCAGGGACATGCTCGGTATAATGCTTACCACAAATCCTTTTCTTTAAGTGAAGTTTGCAGCCTTTGATCCCCTTACTTCTACTCCATCTGCGATCTTCTTTATCCTTCCCCAATTTTAAATGACTTTGCACTTGCTGGGCTTGAACACCAGGAGCCATTTGTCGGACTAGATTTGCAGCCTATCTAGATCTCCTTGTAATATTACCTGATCCTTGCCCACTTGTATTCTCCTGATTATTTTCACACCATCGAACAGCGGCACTTCTTCCATCTTCTCGTTCACATATACAAGAACCACCACCGGACCTAGGACTGTGGAACCCCACTCAACACGTGTGCCCACCCTGATACTTCATCACATACAAACACACGTTGTTTACTTCCTGTCAGGAATTCTCTGATCCATTCCAGTACTTTCCCTGCTATTCCTGCCTGCTCATGTGTGTGTGTGTGTGTGTGTGTGTGTTAGTTACCATTTGGTCTTAGGCACATGTCGATTAGACACTAGGCCT